TGTATTAGGCACACACTGTTTGACGCCGTCGGCATGTTCTTCTGAATAACATATTTTGGGGTACCCAAAACATGTGTTTTCACAGAATGCCTCTCGGAAAATAATACACAATATTTGTTGAAATTTTAAAATTTACTCTCTTATATATTCTTTCCGTTCGTCTTTCGTTTTCTTCCAAATATGTTTTCACTATTCAACTAAATATTGATTGATCACTGATTCCTGAACGTGTTAACGGCTAAGGTTTTTATTCCGTAAGTGGGGGGCTTTAAATGGCCAATTGGTCTTCATTTTAATTTTTTCCATCGGCAGACGCAGTCCATCTTCCCTCTACGAAGGCGAGGTCTGGCACGACTACCACGGCTAGGGGGTTTTCCCAACCAAGTATCTCCACCAGTGGGGGACAAGCTCTAACGCCCGACATGGTCTCCCCGTAAGTGTATGCCAACGTGTAACTGTGGTAAGTTTAAAAAAAAAGGGGTAAAGAAAGGATGAGAAAGAAAGATCGGCGCGCGGATCATACCTTTGTTAGGCGAATTCTCACGGCATACGCCTGGTATGAAAATCAGAGAACCACGGTCGACTACCGGTCAGCAGAGCTGGCCTTTTGGGAATTCTCCCTACAGACAGGCGGTGAATGACTAGCTTAAGTAAATCTGTGGCGAAAATCCTGTCTAATCTTGTTTCTTCGAACTACGACTTCTCGGTCGATGCACTGCGAGGGAGACAGTTGATGTATTCACACTCTTGCTCTCATGAAGCCCTGGACACAGCTCCAGCAATCTTTCCTTGCATTGCATTTTGGGGTGATTTTTGGTTCGCAGAGAGTTGGCTCTGTTGCGGAATTGGCGCGCCGCCCTCCGCGCCCTACCGCCTCCGAAGCGGGCGCTTCGGCGCGGCTTGCGCAAGCGGCGTACGCGGGCCTGCAACTGCCGGGGCTGGGCGAGCCGAGAGGGGGAGGGCGGTGAGAGGAAACGGAAGGCGGGAGAACGCGCAGCGGGGGCGGCTTCGAGATGAGAATGGGCTAGGCGGGCGGGGCGGCAGAGCGACAGAGGCGTGGAGCGGACGGAGCGGGGCAGGGGGGCGTGCGAGCGGTGCGTTTTGCCGGGAGGGCAGTGGCAGTTCAGGGCGGGGGCAGTTACAGGGCCGGGGTGTAGTACGGGCGGGGGTAATACCAGGGCGGGGGCAGTACCGGGCGGTGGGCAGTAACAGGCGGGGTGTAGTACAGGGCGGGGTAATACAAACAGGGCGGGGGCAGTACAGGGCGGTGGCAGTCCGCGGCGGGGTGTAGTACAGGGAGGGAGCAGGGCGGGACAGGGCGGGGACAGGGCGGGAGAGGGCCGGGCACAGGGCCGGGGACAGGGCGGGGACAGGGCGGGACAGGGCGGGGCAGGGCGGGACCAGGGCGGGGACAGGGCGGCGACAGGGCGGGGACAGGGCGCGGGACAGGGCGGGGACAGAGCGGGACAAGCAGAGTGGAGCACGCGGTACGGCGGCTGCGGGCGGACACCAGGGCGACCTGCGACGCAAGCCCGCGACCAAGGCGTTCGGGATGTGCGGTCGAGGAGAGAAATATGCATTTGAACTGAACGGGATTAGTCGCACATTACACTAGACACCACCGAATTAGCACGGAAGATGAATACCGAACAGGCTTGCAGATAGAGGGAGACGATATTACATGTTTACAGAAAATTATGAAACAGCCAGAATGAATAACTTTCGCACCTTTCTTCGTATTGGTCGTTCAGAAAATTTGAATAACGAGAGACACTCATTAGAAATACAACAAGATTTTTCCTGGTCATAAATTGTATAATAATAAGTATGAATGATTTATTCTACGAGGCAAATTAAAAATTGTTACAACGGGGTCTGTCTTGTATTTGTTTACGAGCTGTACGCTTTTCATTTTTCATTGCTGGACAGGGAAGGTTTAAAGTTTCTGTTTTGAGGCCGAGCATCGTGACTCTAATACATGGTCTTCTACTTCGACAGCATTACGCAACCAGTCCATCATTCCATCTCAATTTCTTCGCTCTCCAGACCGTTTATTTTGTTGCAGAGTAACGGATTGTTGGCAATGACTAAATAATTGTGAATTAGCCTATGAAGCGCTGTTCTTTTTTTTGATGAATGCTGCCTCCAATGCTGCCAAATCAACGTAACATTTACTTTTTATTGAAATGTGACAGCTGTAGCGATGCGTAAACAATTTCAATCGAAGGTGGAAACATCCATGTGGAAACGTCTCTTGCAACATTTTGTCAGAAATAGCCCGTATTATGCCAGACGCCGAATGACAATACCTTCTTCATACTCACTGAATAGAATTTTTTTTTCATCACGTTAAAGATCTTTGTGACATAACTGGGCATACACATGAAAGCGAAAAGTGGAATTACCAAATCTTGTTTTCATTAAAATGTGGAATAATTGAAGATATTAAACTTTTATGACTACTGGAAAACCAATTGAATCATGAAAGAATTTGTAACATCATTCCTATTTTAAAGAATTTTGATTAAGCTATTAAAGTGGTTTAAAAATGTTGAACTTCTTTCCTTGTTATAGTCAAGTAAATATGTACACATAAATATTTTGAAATCCTGAACTGTGTCAGCAAATGACGTGCGCATGCGGCATCCCGAACTGCAGTTCACAGATGCTCAGAAGCGTTATACATAGTGTCCCGAGAAATGCATTAGATGGTGTATGCTACATTGTTTTAAGTGTTCTACCGTGTATTTTCAGTTTCGATACCGGTACCAAAATGCACTGTACGAACATAATGATAACAACAATTAATCTTACTCAATAATCATTCAGACTTATTTCAGTGTTTCAGTATGTCTATTTACAGTAGTCTGCCCCGCCCTCATTTCCGCCTCTCTGCCCGCTCTCTGCCGCCTCTCTGCGCGCCTCTCTGCGCCGCCTCTCTGCCGCCTCTCCTGCCCGCCTCTCTGTCTCTGCCGCCTCTCTGCCGCCTCTCTGCCCGCCCTCTCTGCCGTCATCTCTGCCGCCTCTCTGACCCGCCTCCCTGCGCTCTCTGCGCGCCACTTCTGCTCCCATTACCTCGCGCCTCTCTGCGCCTCTCTGCCGCCTCTCTGCCCGCCTCTCTGCCGCACTCTCTGCCGCCTCTCTGCCGCCCCTCTCTGGCGCGCTTCTGCCGCCTCTCTGCCCGCTCTCTGCCGCCCTCTATGCCGCCCTCTTGCCGCTCCTTGCCGCCTCATCTGCCGCTCTTGCCGCCCTCCTTGCCGCCTCTCTGCCGCCCTTCTGCCGCGCTCTCTGCGCTCTCTGCGCCTCTCTGCCCGCTCTGCCGCGCCTCTCTGCCGCCTCTCTCCCCTCCCCTCTCTGCGCCTCTCTGGCCCTCTCTGCCGCCTCTCTGCCGCCCTCTCTGCCGCTCTCTGCCGCTTCCTCTGCCCGCCTCCTTGCCGCCTTTGCCCGCCTCTCCTGCCGCCTCTCTGCCGCCTCTCTGGCGCGTCTCTGCCCGCGTCTCTGCCCGCATCTGCCGCCCTGCTGCCCGCCCCATCTGGCCCAGCCCTCTCTGCCCGCCTCTCTGCCGCCCTCTTGACCGCCTCTCTGCCCGCCTTCTGCGCCTCTCTGCCGCCCCTCTCCTGCGCCCGCTCCTGCACCGGCCTCTTGCCCGCCCTTGCCCGCTCTCTGCCGCCTCATCTGGCCGCCTTCTGCCGGCCCCTTCTGCCGCCCTCTCTGCCGCCTCTCTGCGCCTCTCTGCCCGCCCTTCTGCCGCCTTCTCTGCCGCCCTCTCCTGCCGCCTCTCTTGCCGCCCTTCTGCGCCCTCTCTGCCCGCCTCTCTGCCGCGTCTCTGGCGCCTCTCTGCTTGCCGCCTCTTGCCGCCTCTCTGCGCCTCTCTGCCGCTCTCTGCCGCCTCTCTGCCGCCCTTCTGCCGCCTCTTCTGCGCGCTCTCTGCCCGCCTCTCTGGCCGCTTCTGCCCGCCCTTCTGCCGCCTCTCTGCCGCTCTCTCTGCCCGCTCTCTGCCGCCTCCTTGCCCGCCACTCTGCGCCTCTCTGCCCGCTCTCTGCCCGCGTCTCTGGCCGCGTCTCTGCCGCCGTCTCTGCCGCCCCTCCTGCGCGCCCACTCTGCCCGTTCCCCCCTCTCCCGCCCTCTCTGCCGCCCTCTCTGCACACTGCCCCTCTCTGGCCTCCTGCCGCTCTCTGCCGCCTTCTGCCGCCCTCGTCTGCCCGCCTCTCTGCCCGCCTCTCTGCCCGCCCTCTCCGCCCTCTCTGCCCGCCACTCTGCCCGCCTCTCTGCCGCCTCTCTGCCCGCCTCTCTGCCGCTCTCTGCCGCCTCGCCCTCTCTGCTCCGCCCCTCTGCCCGCCCTCTCTGCGCCTCTTTGCCGCCCTCTCTGCCCGCCTCTGCCGCCGTCTGCCCGCCTCCTTGCCGCCCTCTGCCGCCCTCTGCCGCCGCCTCTGCCGCCTCTGCCCGCCCTCTGTCCCCGCCCTCTCCCTGCCGCTCTCTGCCGCCCTCTTCTGCGCCTCTCTGCCCGCCTATCGCTCTGCCCGCCGGCTCGCTGCCGCCTCTCTGCCGCTCTGAGCCCTTGCCGCCTCTCTCCGCCCTCTGCTGCCGCCTCTCTCGCCACTCTCTGCCGCTCTCTGCCCGCCCTCTCTGCCCGCACTCTGCCCGCTTCTCGCCGGCTCCTCTGCCCGCTCTTGCCCCTCTCTCGCCTCTCTGCCCGCCCTCTCTTGCCGCCCTCTCTCCCGCCTCTCTGCCCGCCTCTCTGCCGCCCTCTCTGCCCGCTCTCTCCTTCTGCCTCATCGCCGCTTCTCTGTCGCTCGTCTGCCACGCCCTCTTCTCGCACCCCCTTCTCTCCCGCTCCTGTGCCCGTCTCCTCGCCGCTCTCTGCCGCCCCTCTGCCCTGCTCTCTTCTCGCCGACTCTGGCTGATCTGCCCGCCTCATCTTGCCCCTCTGCCCGCCCCTTGCCGTCTCCCTCGCCGCGCCTGCCCCTTTTCGCCGCCCTCTCTTGCCCGCCCTCTGCGCCCTCTCTGCCGCCTCTCTGCCGCCTCGCCCCTCCTTTCGCCCTCCTCGCCCGCTTAAAGGAGGAGCGTTTTGGTGTGCTTGCTTGGCGGTGGCCGAAGCGCTGAGGCGGCGCGTGTGCGCAGGTGGCGGGCAGACGCGACCCGGACCAAGAGCGGAGGCGCGCGAGTGGAAATCGAGGCGTGACAGGGCGGAGCGCTTCCGCGGGCGCGCCTACGAGGACGCGCTGCGCGACGGCGTGCTGCTCTGCAAGCTCATGAACCGCCTGCAGCCAGGCCTCGTGCCGCGCATCAACACCTCGGGCGGCGACTACAAGATGATGGACAACCTCAGCCAGTGAGTACCCCCTCGCTCACCTCGGCTCGCCAACCCCTTCCCCTCTACATCACTACGGTCATTGTAACAGACTTGTAAACGGTACTTCCTATCCTGAGGATGCATTCACTTCTAAGTATTTTCTTCTTTTGATACTTTTATCCCTGTTTGTTTCTTCCGTGTGCTAATAAGGAGGAGGTTTTTGTCATTGTTACTACCGTTATCGTTGTATTTCATAACAATTCTTCCAAAACAATTATATTTACGTTTCTTGGTTCGATATTCTGTGCGGAATAGCAACATGCTCTATTCAAATATCTTGTGTACTGTTCCAGGGATTTTTGGATTATTTTCTCCCAAACATTATAATGAAAAATGCTTATAGAAATTTAAGCTCTGTTAATCCGCAGCACTTATTATTGCTGAGATATTCACGCACATTGTGATTATTTTGATGCAACCGCAGAATGCTTTCCTTTGCAAAGCGGATTGCGAACTCAGTCACCCGGTTGTATCAATATTTTCCACCGACCTATTCATTACAATGGTTTTATTGGATATTGAAACAAATTAACTAATATTACAAAATATTTCGTTGGTATATCAGTGTGGGAAACTAAAGTTGTCATGAAATGAAATAAAAAGAATGAAAATCTGAAATATTGTCCAAGAAAACAAAAATATCAAATGCTGGCCATTCTGTGATTATGTGAAGGGTTGTTAACTGCGGAATTATTAGTATTTTGGGTCGATCGATCGATATACAATTCATTGTCCAAAAGTAACGGGAGGGGTAATGGAAGCCTTATGAAGCAGTGCCAGTGGTTCTGATCAAGTTATTAACTTTTATCACAAACATTAAAAGAAGAGAATCAGACATTTTCAATGTCTAGGTTAATAGTAATTATGTTATTAATAATTATTGTTCATTTCAATATTTGATGTTCTTTGTTATTTTACTTTATTGTTTTATAATGAATAATTGTGTTATAATTGTGTATAGTTGTGAAATATTGTTTTATAGTGAATAATTTTATATCTAGTTCTTGTTCTTGAATTGTTATTTTTAGATTTTTTATGAACGAAATATTCTGAATTATTTTTCTTAGTATAACTCCATTGTCTTGACATGAAATCATTCCAGGAAGCGATGATAGAATGAGGTTTCGTATCTAACTGGTGTGTCCATCTTTTTTGACTTCTTTGTTTACATAATAGTTTATTTGAGTTTATTATTGCAGTATATTATTATAATGTATTAATGTAGAATCAACTCCTGAATTTATCGAGAAATCGAAACGCAGTCGCGATCTTACTTAAATAATAAACGAACGTTTTGCTGTACAACTATTATCGCCTTTCAGTAAGGAAAGTATCGCCTTTCAATAAGGAGAAAGAATGAAAATGACTTCACAGTGGAATTAAAAGTCGACATGTGTAAAGTATCATGATATAAATAAGCGAAAATTATTAATTGCTTCTCTCGGAAAAAAAAAAAATTAGCTCCAGCCGCATTTGCAGGGCGCGCATGAGGATTCTTGGCGTCCCCTTTCTATTAACTCAGCGCGACCTCTGTCGCGCCGCCCCGGAGCGCAGCCCTCGCCCACACGCCCCGGCGGCGGCATCCCGCGCGACTTTTTAAAACTCCCGCGTGGCGCGCCCGTATCGATCGCCTCCGGCCGCGGCGGCCGCCACCTCCTCCTGCGTCCTGCCACCCGGCTCCAAAGTTGGAAGAAAACGTTTTAAACTCCATTTGCTAGTGCTTACACAGAGGGCGATAGATACAACATAGTGATAGACACTGATACGGTACGCTTGTTTGGCCGCTCAACACTCTCTACCCGCTAAGTGGAACACTCCTGTAAACGATAACGGGCTTATTAGGGGGCTCGGGGCGCGAGTTAAGCGGCGGGAGCGCGCTCTGCCAGGCCGCCGTGAAAACTGCTCGCTCGCGTGCGCGCCCGCCCGCCAAACGGCCGTTATGAGAGAGTGTATAGAAGCCAGCCGGTCGCGTAACTTTTAAATTTATCGGGGGTTGGTGTTTTTTAATAAATCATTGCGCGCCGGGGGAGGCGGGCGGGCGGGCGCGCGGGGGAGGTTTTTAATAAAACGCGGAATAGCGCTGGAAGCCTGGCCGGGAGGGGGGAAAAACACCCCTGGCGGCGAACGAGTAATCAAGCCCCGATTACGCAGCCGGCGCGACACGCCGCGCTCTGGCGGGCAGCGGGCGAACGCAGGAAGGAAGTCCGCTCGCCCATTGGTGGACGCCGGACGGAATTTGTTCGCTAGATTGCTCGCTTTGTTGGGCGACCGCAAACAAACGTTTGATGCAGGTTTTCATCCAATGTTCTCGTTGGGCGCCACCCAGCGCCCAGGACGCGCGGAGAGGCAGACGGCGGGAAAAAAGCGCGCGGACCTCCTGAGCGCGCCTGGCGGCCGGGTGCGACTGGCGCTCGGGGAAGACGTACGCGAGCACCGCTTCCGTCGCGATTGACAGACAGACGCTCTCTCGCTCTCTCTCCGACAGTCAAGGATAAAATGCTTGCTTGCCTGCGTTCTATCTCATTCTTTTCGTCTTTCATTCTTAGCTTAGAATAGAAATGTTTGCCCTAAGCTGCATCATTCATTACTCCGATGAATATGACACATCAGTTTCTTTTTTTCTCTCCCTCTCTTCTTTTGATTTTATATTTTATGTTAGATTGGAAAAAAATCTAATGTTACATAATGGCCGATTCACACCAACATTCTTGTCATGTTCTCTCTCATGTATGTATGTTTCATGTTAACGTTCTATCGATACGTATATGAATTTTGTGGGTGAAAATTTTGATTTTGTGTTAAACTAAACAGGTATTACGCAGAATTTGAAAGGCTATTCATTATTAAAAATAGTTTATATTATTTTATATTTATTTTATATTATTTTAGCGGCATGGGAATTTTCCACAATTGGGTCTAGGCGAACGAGATTGTGGGAGAGGTTTACGAAATAGTTTTGTGATAGTTATTAATTTCAAATAATAAATTAATTAAAAATTAGTCGAAAACATATTTAGAGATTAAATTTTAAAAATAATTTTAAAAGTTTGAGAGGTTTTATAGTTCTTTAATGAAGTCACTTTTGTTCAACTCCTGACGTTTTGGGGAGGTAAGCTTCGTAAGGAAAGTTAAATCAGAGGGAAGGAGTTAGTAATTGTTTAAAGGTGTTCCAGTTTGCGAGGAGGGGAAGTTAATTTTATGAGTTTTTATAGCTTTTGAATAGTCATTAAAATAAGCATACAAGGTTTCATTACTCTGACAGTTCCATTTAATGTTTCGTAATTTCATTTTATGGCTTCTCGCGTGAATGTTCCCTCATTTGTTCCATTTCGCTGATTTGTTTAAGGAAGAAAGTTGAACGATTCTACGGCTCAGGTCTCTCAGAGCCTCAATAGATGCTGCGGTACCTCTGACCGGAAGGTCCAAGGGTTCGAGTCCAACGACGTCAGGATTTTCGACCCAAGCCCCATTACTGATAGCTTGGTCGAATTCAGTCGCTGTCTAGACAGGAATTCTAGCGTCCGGCTTCTCTGATAGGTAGTTTTCCGTGGTTTCTCCGAACAACATCCGGCGAATGCCGGAGCAGCACCCTAACAAAAGGGGCACGGGGCGCTCGCGATCATGCCTTCCTCTTCCTTTTCCTATCCTCACTCAATACACTTGCTTGATTGCACTAGTACTAAAGATTTTCCAAATGTATTGTTATTACGAAAGTGAAAATGTGAATAGTAGTTTGAAATATTTTGTAGCGCTTCCAAAGGTAACTTTATGTGATCAATTTCTCTTGATAGTCGCCTCTCTCCCTCTCCTTCCCTATCCCCCCTTCTTCCCTCCCTCTGATCCTCACTCTCTGGCTCTCGCACTCTCTCCCTCCCTGTCGCTCTCTTCCGTTTCCATATTTCGCGTAAAAATTTCGTCGGTCCATTATAATTCGTTTAATGAGATTAGTTGTCGCCCGATTTTATTAGCCAATGTCGAGAAAGTTAATTAAAAGAAGAGTAGCGAGTATTTTAAATTTTCCCATTCAAAGCCTTGTAAATTTTATACAATGGAATTTCATTTCAGGTCTCTCGCTCTCGCTCTCGTGCTGGCAGATCTCGTTTGCATTTTCCCTGATATAAAAATAATACATTTTCACCAAGAATTCAATTTTGTTAATGCACCATTATCATTCCATTAGCAAGAGTTAGAACAAGAGCTTTCGGCTCCATTTGGAGACTGCTTGTTCATTTTCTATGATTCATTTGAATTTGGATTTATCGCTGGACTCTTGAACATTTGAGTTTCTGTACTTCTGTTCATGGATATGTTTTTTATGATATCATGAAATGGACATTAATTATTGCTTTTATAAACGAGCTTCTGCAAGATAAAATGAATTGAATTAAAACATTTGTTTACACGTGTAGAATCGAAACTCACATACATATCATTAATTTAAAATTAATTGAATACATTAAAATGACTACTAAATTTTTTATTGAATTTTCAATGTAGAAAGTTTTTATTGGTTTATATTGCTAAAATGGGTTTCACATTCCATTGACTTGATAATTGAAGGAGGTATAATGAAAAAAAACAACTCTAATCGACATCTCGATCCATATTGTTTCTAGGAAATATTTATTTTTATCTACGTAATTGGAGTTTGGACAATGATAAAAAACTAACCAAGGCATGGATTATGAAATATTATTTTAATGATCGTACATCACGAGAACACCAAAAACAGTACACTAGAAATGCTGAAAAAGAATACATAACTTTGTTTTGAATTATTTTTTATTTAACAGCTAGATCAATCTTATGTACAACAGATTACTAGTACATTATTTATTACATTAATATTTTATCATTATAAAGTAATCAAGTAACCTGCCGTATGATAACTAACAGAAAATTAAACCTAAATTTGTAATGAAAGAATATCGATTAATGTGTTGACTGACATTAAATTGTACTAACAAATTAATGTTAGC